ATAAGGGGTTCTCAAACTGGGGGGCAGGACCCCTCAGGGGGTCACAAACTGTCAACCTTCACCCCAAACCCCACTTGCCTCCAGCATTTATAATGCTGTTAAATATATTTAAAAATGTGTTGAATTTATTGGGGGGGGGTCGTCGCACTCAGAAGCTTACGATGTGAAAGGGGTCACCAGTAAAAAAGTTTGAGACCCACTGGGTTAGATGGTTAGATGAACGGATGGTTAGCTGGTTGATGAATGGATGGATGTGTGGATGGTTAGATGAATGGTCCCATCTCAGCGCAGGGGGCTGGACTTGGTGACTTCACAAGATCCCTTCCAGCCTGACATTACAATTATTCTATCCATCCATTCACCCTGCTCCACCCCCTACCTATGTACCTATCCACCCATCCCCCTGCACACCCCTCTATCGATCCACCCAGCTCCATAAACACCCATCTGTCGTTCCATCCATCCGTCCATCCCTCCCCATACGTACCAACCTATCTCTCCATCCGCCCCATGCACACCCTTCGATCCATCCATCCATCTCCATACACCTATCTATCTATCTTCCCAAACCCTAGCACACTGATCTATCTATTCTCCAGGATTCACATAGCTCGACCAGGGCCTGATCCAGCCTGGGACCCCCGGAGTCTGGGACACCGCTGGGCCACAGGGGGGTGGTGGGGTGAGGGTGGAAGGGGGGTAGTATTGAATGAGTGGAATGTGCATCACCCCAACCTGAGAACTAGGAACGCTGGAGGGGGCTCCCCCCGCCCCATTCCCCCCAAGGCAACATGTCTTGATAACCCGCCTCTCCCCCCAAGTGAGAAGCCTGGGAGACCGGCACTGACATCCAGATGTGGCCAGAGGCGGCCATGGGGGTGGGATTCCCCCTCTGCAGCCACACTGGGCCCTGCATCCAGATGTGGCGGGAATGGAGGAGAGGGGGTTCCCCTAACCAGCTGCACTGGTGGCTGGATCCAGATGTGGGAGGGGGGAGAAGGGGGCGTTCCCTGCTCTCCCCCCTGTCCAGCTGTGGCTCGCGCGGGGCCCGGGTACCTTTGCAGCGAGCCTCTCCCTCCAGGTCTGTCTGTCCCCGCGCGGCCAGTCCTGCGGTCCGGCTCTCCCGGGGGGAGGGGGAGCTAATCCCCTTTAAATTTGGGGGCGGGAAGGATCGGCGTACCCTCCTATGGGAAGAGGAGACGGCTCGGCTCGGCCAATCGGGAGCCGGATGGGATGGGACGGGGCGGGCGATCAAGACAGCCAATGGATGCCCTCTATCTCCAGCGCTGGGAGCCAGGACGCCTGGGTTCTTTCCCTGGCTTTGGGAGGGGAGTGGGGGCCAGGACTCCTGGGTTCTCTAGTCTCCGCAGCTCGGGGAGGGGTCTAGTGGATTAGAGCAGGGGGGGTTGGGAGCCAGGACTCCTGGGTTCTCCTCCTGGCTCTGGGAGGGGAGTGAGGGCTAGAAGGTTAGAGCTGTGGAGGGGTCTATATTTTAGGTACTTCTCTGTCCCCCATTGCTACAGTATCTCAGCACCTCACAGTCACTTGACACGTTAACCCCGGGAGGCAGGACAGTGCCCTATGTCCGCTCTGCCGGTGAGGAAGCGCAGAGAAAGGAGGGCCCACCCTGCGAAAGGTGGCAGGGAACCCAGGCGACCTGCCCCGTGTGGTTTGCGCTAATCTCACTTTAGCTAGCATTAAACAAGCTTTGGGACAGCTGGGGAACAGCTGCATATAACACCACACGGGGCTGGCTCATCCGATGCTGAGATGCAGCCACCTCTGGGGCAGGGCAGCTGGGGAATAGCTGCAATCCC